TGGTAATGTGATCGCGAAGAGAAATTCCCAACATTCCTCTTTCCATGGCTCTCTTGGTGACAGAGAGCTGGTGCCCATCAATTTTAGTGAATGGCCTCATTTTACAGTTGTACAACACGATTACCCCTCATCAGGGCTGGAATAAATTAATAATGCTGCGGTTTCTGCAGTGAAGCGCGCTGGTCTTAAGCTGTTTACCATCTGCTATATTTGGTGACCTGAACCATGAATCATTCAAATAACTATGTACATAACTATGTGCCTAGAATCAGAAACCCTAAGTATTATTTGTCACAAAAAATTCTATTTCATACTCAACACAAACACTGCAATAGTGCAATAAAGTCGGGTCTTACACTAGAGTGTACCGCAATATTGCAGCGTATCAATTTCTAGTAAGGTAGTATGACCATTTTATCAGGCCATAGCTCCATAGTATTTAAGCGCCTGAGTGCATAAGATCCATGATCATGTCTCTTCGTTGGGTTGAACAGTGGCATGTTCAAGCCAAAAAGCCATTATCTGAAGGTTAATGCAAATAATGACAAAATATATAACCTTGATGTTTTGGGGTAACCTCCACAAGTGAGGGCTTTCGATACCGCAGGCCCAAATGATATTACAAATAAATTCAGATATCGGATTTCAATAAACAACCAATATTTATATACTTGGGTGATATAAGCCATGAATACAATCTAAAAGATACACTATTTTTCAATTTTATTCATAAAACAAGGATTTTGACAGCAAAACGTATCCCTAAACGTGTGGATAACATTTTGGAAATATTTGCATCGTGCAAAAGAACAATTTTAGGTATAGAGAAGATTTTACATTAAATGTAATGATGCCAGATTGAACAGAATTGAAAATAAGGGAAGAATTTAGCGAACAAGTCATAATCATAACCAATTTCGACCAACTGTCCTGCTTAACAGCTCAGCACCTAACTATTGAAATTGTAGATTGAATCAAACGCAAAATGACTGCAGGACTATAGACGGGGCCATCGATATGGAGCTATTTTCTGAGCTGTATTTGCTTTTGAAAATGAATTAACTGCTGCTGAAGATACAAGTGGGCAAAACACTAAGAACCAAAAACCACAGAACGATGCGGGAGAGAGCTAGCGCTTTATGAATCGATCATCTCGGAAGGAGAGTGACGGATTAACGCCTGACGGAGTTTAAATTGCGTCCATCTGTTAGAAGTTTACACCCACCTCTTTTCCTCAAAGACAGGCGTCCCCTCATGATTTACTTCAATAACAAAAGAAAATACACTAACGGTCCCAAGAAGCGAAGCTTGACATGCCGAAATGCAAATGAACGAATAAAGAGCGCAAGGGAGAGACGATCTGTCAGTTGAAATGATCAGACCTAGTGGTTGTAGACTGTGCAGACCTCAAACGGACAGGTTCAATTGCTACCTGGAAACGGAAACGATATCGTCAAGCTGGATCGTACTTTTGAAGAAGGATTAGAAGGAAGATCTGAAAAACTATCACTCAAGATGCCTTCTCTCACAAGCATACAAACTGTTCACCAGGATCATCGCGAGCATACATCAAGAAATGGACAGTAGCCAAAAGAACAGGCAGGAATTTGAAACAGTTGCTGTAAAACGAATCACTTCTTTAACCTAAGTCAACTTTGCGAAGGAAAGGAATTCCAGCTCCATCCTTGCAGAGCTTTCGTCGACTACAAGAAAGCGTTCAAACATGACCCAGTGTGGGCTGCACTGACAGAGCAGTGCATTGACGCCCGTCACATGTACCTGCGAAGGAATCGAACTCTGGCTGCTTTACAGATGTCCCGAAGTTCGACACCCCGTCGGATTCTCATAGAAGAGGAGGCGTGAAAGAAACAGGCGTCTTCTCTGTCAAACACTTCACTGCCTGTTTGAAACTGGTCTTCCTGAAGATGAATTGGAGAGGTGGGATTATCATAAATGGTAAGTAGCCCCATCATCTAACATTCGCTGATGACGTGATGTTGCTTGCGGAAATCTTCAGTCAGCTACATGACATGGTCAGAGAGCTCGAGAGAAGCAGTAAAGAAGTCCGATTGCGAATCAATCGGGCCATAACGAGGATACCGCAAAGAGATCCCCTGCCGTAGACCTAGGTAATTTTAAACGAAAAAAAGATTGAATAAATGGATAAATAAATCTACTTGACCTGAGAGATCATTATGCGGCAAATCAGGATTCAAGGAAGAAACAGAACTATCAGTTCTACCGTCCTGAAAGTTTTTAGAACTTTTCCAGCAGATGCTGGTGAATAGCATGATCATGTTTGGAGTTACAATACAGTCGAGAATATTCGTCACCGTCACAAAGGCGTTAAAGCATTTTTATTTCCTATTTCACTTTGGTCATCACAACTCACTTAGCTCCTTTTTCTGTAGAAATGTTTTCATGCTTCAACTTTGTTTTAAATTATCTGATAGGCAGAGTTTGACAAACAGCCAGATTAGAGCGCGACCAACTGATGTCATGGCAATACAGTAAGCCAGCGTTAGAGAATATCTCCTAATGATTTTTTCCTTTAAGCAATTAAGTTTTCACTTCCATGAAGGAAACGATTCTCAGCGCCAACCTCACATAGTCAGATCAAATATGGTAAAATGCGGATCAAGCGCCAAAACAGTTTCTCGCCTTGCTCAAATGTACCACCATTCAGTCGTGCAAGAAAACATTTCAGTCATCATTAAGGAATGCATTCAGGAACCTACTGCTCACCGATGAATGCTGAAACATACCCCAGACTTATGGAGTGGTGAAGTTTCGCGAAGCGAGCATCCAGTCAGATGTCATATTCGACTTTCTGTTAAAACCTACGGTTCAAAAGACGGCTTAAGACTGAAGGACATTCACAACCTTTTACTTCGACTGAAAGGATTTCAAGGC